AGAAGGCTCCCCGACCCAGACGGGATGTAAGTCCTTTTGTTTGGAGTGTTTCCAGCTTTGTAGATGAACTTCCACTTTCTCTTCTTTCTCGAGGCATCCTTGCTATTTCAGCAGGTATAAATCCCACCTCTTGAAGCTCCAGCTTGTAGTCATAGGATAGAGTTTCTTTCCTTTGACCTTAGAGATACCGAGGTTCACGTGAATGATACAATTTACGGATTGCTGACCGGGGATTTCAGGACGTGTTGGGTCGACTACCTTCACGACCAGGTAGACTTAGGGTCCTAGTAGCTGTGTATGATGGGTTCGTGGTACCCCGACCCAGTTACCTCTACATTTTAGGATCACTCTACCTTCCTTTTTGTTGAGCCCCTTTGTGCCCTGTCGCTCATTGACCTCGTTGATATCACCTTGACGACCCGATGTCGATGAGCTGCCGCCCATTTGGGATACGACGATTTGTCCTCTGCCCTTTGGCTCAGACTTGCTTTGAGGTATTGGGATATCCCCGTCAAGATGATTTATGTTATTACGTGGGCCTCATGTGCTGATAAGCAGCTTTCCATTCCGGGATGTGAGAGACTCATTCTCTGCCCGATTGTTTAGCGTGAGCTTTAAAGCATTGGGATTGTTCCCACATGGAATAACCTTCCTTTGGTTGCCTATACCCCAGGTTTATGATAATATGAAGCGAAACTTCTTTTATCGAGAGTATTCTTGGGTATCCTCTAAGATGTAATTAACCAATAGGAACACGTTCCTCTGGGAGTGCTCTTGACCCCAGAACAGGTACATACACCTGACTCTCTGGTTATGGGTAATCTATGTAGATACTTCTTTCGCGGATATTGGTTTAAGGTGCATTGTGAGATTTATCGCACGTAGACTTTCCACGTTTTACTTTTTCTCTTGTTTGTCACTTTGTCGTATGTCCCTTCTTATTCGATTCCTCTTCTCTTTGAATCATTTATATGGTTCGAGAGGTAGACTTATTCGAATGGGGGAAGTATACGACGATCGACAAGCTGACGACTCCTTTTTAAAATAAAAAAGAGAAAATTAAAATGGAAAACAGACATATCACATAGGATGACCCATTTTTTCTTCCAAATCCCAAACGTTCTTTAAATTACCCCACGTAAAGAGGATTGACATTTGTTAAACATTTCATTCTAAACATTTCATTCCTAACACGAATAGTATCACTTGCTTGCTTAAAATCAGGAATAGGATACCTAGTGTTTGAATATGGCTTCAGATAGTCCCTCTGCATAGGGTATCCAACATCAACCAAATAGTATTTTCCTGTTATAGAAGATATTGTTATTTGCAATAAATACCTACAACTTAGAATTTTATAAATCAAAACATACCTGAAAGTGGATGAGGAAAACCCTGCAATCTATTCCTCGTAGCATAGGAGAAAATTTGACTATCATGTGCACTCCCTTCATAACATATGTTGAAGTCACATGACATATGTGAAACACATGTTGAAGTCACATACCGTCATGACATATTGTGTCGTTGAACCACTTCGACCAATGTAAGCCACCTTATCCTGACTGTGTATTTGGGCATCAACGTGGGTACCTTCAATTGCACCTATTTAGTTCTGTTTTACAAGGTTATAAAATATTTATATTTTGATATGAAAGTAAATAAAAGAATGATTACCTTGAAGTAACGGGGATCGACTGCGATTTGTCCTGGAGTATTAGCAAATGATGGATCCTCTGGCCTGATGATTTTAGCAGCTAAGCTAACAAGTGACTGTATGCCTTTGGAAAAATAACGACTTATTGTCTCCGATGAATGCTGAAATCTCTCCATAGCACCCCTAATTGATTCATTCTGTGACACAATATATAGTATTATTGCCAATATCTCCCTTCTCGTCGTTCTCGAAGAACCTTGGAGTCTGTGATTCAGGGATAACTAATGCAGGAGATCCATAAAGATCGGTACTATCATTCGAAATATGTTACTGAACCTAATATGAAGTCCAGAAAGCACTTTGCCTACCCATTTATCCCCAACAAAACTAGAGGTCATTCGGGGTATACGAACACTACTTGATCGGTAATACTCCAACAGTAATATGACAATAGCTGCAACCCATGTCATTCTCTTACGACGTTCATGTTATGGATCCATCATAAAGGAAGAAAGATCTCGATTAGTTCATCAATTATTAATCAATACAGTGAGCGAGAAATAAATAATGAGAAGGCTCAGCTAGTTAGAATAAAAAAAATGTAGAACTCTACTAATATGCATTCATGAATCAAGTAAAAGTACATAAAAAAAACACAACTCCAAATAACAGCTGAGTTCATAACTTCGAAGAGTACATAATACATTTCTTGAAAACACATAAAAACTCAATCATCCACAATAACACGTAAATATTCGAATTGCAACTCTAGTTTCATCACCATAAATATGTGCCTACGTGTTGGATCCTCAAGTTTTTTTTCATACATATTGCATGAAAGTGCTTATCTGCTACTACTTCAGGGATGATAGACAAAGTTTGAAGACAATCAAAGATAGTGCTGTCAGGAAGTGGAGCAGGCGGTGGTGCTCCAAAAGCATCTATGAGTCAGTCAAATGAAGTTTTCACAAAAGTGTCATTTTCTTTTTTTCTTCTGCCCAGCCTGGGTCTCTTCATCTGTGATTTTGATTCCCCCATCTCCATTTGGTTAACGCTATGTATTTCTTCTTCAACTGCCACCTGCTATGGTGGAAAATCATTAAATATTCTTGCAAACCCCGCCTCACTAGGGGTGAATGCATGCTTTCCTATTGCCACAGCCCCTTGAACATTATGTCAAGTTTATCTTCAAGATCCGGCTCAATTCTGCTCTGCTTGTATTTTTTCATTGTCGGCATTGCCTATAACATTAAAATAAGGAGGGGGTTTAGGGGTATAATTGTTTAAATTGAAAATATATGTAATAAATAAATAAATAATGAGAATTTTACCTCTAATTTCTCGGCCCACCATTCATCTAAAGCATCAAATGTTCGTTTGATTGGATTTCAACCCAACCCCGTGGACCCACGTTTTAGCTCCTTCCAAATTTTACTCTCTTTCTTCAATTGATCCCATTTATTTTTAAATTTCAACCTGTCATAATCTCTTCCAATTAATTCTTTAAACCTTTTAGCTATATTCTGCCAACCTTCCTTGCTGAAATAGGTGGTTGGCCTATTCCCGATCTCAATCTTAGTGATGCAGAGGTTGCAAAAAATAATTGTAACTTCCTTATCCCACATCGCCGACCACCTTCATTTGTCTTAGCCATTGTGGAACTATATGAAGAATTGAATATTGTATAAAGAAATTGATATTGTAACTCAACAAGCATAAGAAAATTCTCCACATTAACCAACAAGAGATGAAAGACATAGACATCTTTAAAAAAAATCTATATGCACATAATGAACATACATCCACAAGTGATCCAATTGAAGTTACATCCACAAGAGATGAAAGATGTCTATGCCTTCATAAAAAACACGAGCCAACAAAATGCACAAACAAAATGAAAGATGCCTACATTCAACAAATGAACCAACATCCACAAAATGAACAAACAACAGTGTCCAAATTTGCTCATAAAAAATAAAAAAAATAACATAAAAGGAATTATGTGGTTCGGTCAAAGACTTACATCCACAGTAAGACATCGAACATGTTTTATTTTCCAATTATGTAAGATTACATAGCTATGATTCTCAATGGAGAACACTACAACTAAAGTACATGTGTAACAATAAAGCAATACACTTATAATATTTAATATGCAATTTCTCTTACATGTCCTGGAATCCAATTCCACGGAAGTAATTGCCGAATTACCATAATGCATTTCCATTATCTAAGATGCTCATATCGACAATCATCATCATCACCATAATGAGTGTTGCAAACTGAAGCTCTAAAGACCAATAAACTCGTAGCTCTAAAATATAAGCAGTGTATTTCCTCTCTACCCTCAGCATCAAAGAAAGCTTGAAAACCTCATAAAAATATACCAACCCGATGCTCTAAATGGCCTAAACAGTGAATAGTATTTGCATTGCATATAAATTTCCTCATCATTGGCTAAACAGTGAATAATATTTGCATTGTAAATGAATTTGCAGATATTATTTTTTCTCCACAATCATTTTAATGAAACAAAAAGTGCATCCAACATTTTCTATCTAATGCCAGAACCATTTTAATGAATCAATATATCTAGTAAATAGTGGAAAAAGAACTGCACCTATCCAAAATTCCATAAAAACACCCATCCTACAATTCAGAAATATGTAAAGCCGAAAATATGTAATGCCCAAACTTTGTTAGGGATAAACCATTTTAACGAAATTCCATAAAAATGCCCATCCAAAATTCCATAACAACACCCATCCAAAATTCAATAAGAACCATTTTAACGAAATATGTAATGCCCAAATTTTCATCCAAATTTCAGATCTAGCAAAAAGTGAAACAAAAAATGCATCCAACATGAGGCTGAAAGCACAAGTGAAATAAAAACCGCATCCACATTTTAGATTTAGCAAAAACAGAGAAGGGGTCGAAAGCTTTGAAACAAAACTGCCTCCAAAATTCAGATATAACAAAATCACCCATCCAAAATTCCATAAAAACTGCTATAACCTCCGAAACCAACAGTGATGCATCCAAATAAAGATGTAACGAGACACAAGTTAGGGGTCGAACCAGATCTAGCAAAATCAGAGAAGATCGAAAATGATAGTGCATCCCAGTCTGGAAACTAGAGTTTCGTTAGGAGGGCGACAACGAGGGAGAGCAGAGAGTGGAGTTTTTGCCTAATTTCTCAATGACCGCGAGGAAAAAGGCGAGGGCTAGGGAGACTGAAGAGGGGCACGGGACATCTTTTTCATCATATGAACTAAATGCAGTAAATGCAGGACACGAAGGGAGCTATGCTTACATGAGTTCTCCTATTTCCTCTGATACCGTCTAATACGGCCGTTTAATACGATGTATCAGCGGTAAGAGAATCTCGCGATCTGTCCAAACGCTATTGCGGGGAGCGATTATTGCGCCCCGCGACGCACAGCTCTGCGTGTTGCGGGGTTTTCAAACCGCTACCATTCCCTGCCCTGAACCCGAAATTGACTTATGCGTTCTTACCATCGTCGATCAGCGCGTCTTCCTCGCCCACCTCCCGCCGGAATGGGAATCTCGTGGAGATGCGTGTTCGTGTTTCTTCTAGTCCTGATATCTCAGTTTGCCGAACCAACCTTAGGGATCCGATTTCCTCAAGCGATCCCAGAATCCTCCCGCCAAAATTCCAATCGCCCTCTAAAGTCGGCCGTCTTCGCACTTGGGAGCTTTTGGAGATCGGAGGTGGTCTTCGGATGCCTACCAGGCGTTGTGCGGACGTTGGTCGGCTACGCTGGCGGCACCAAGGCTAACCCCGAGTATCGGAACCTAGGAAACCACGCCGAATGCGTTCAGGTCCGATTTTAACCCTATTGATCGGTCTGAGGTTTAATTCGCCTCTGTTTACTCTCTTCTGCAGAACGTAAAGAAAGTGTGAACCTCATACTCGTTGACAGTAGGATTCTACAATCTTTCCACGTTTGGCGTATCCACTCAATCACTAGAATTACATAAAAGATTTCAGTAATGAGAATCAAATGCAACAATGAAATGAACGTTGTTCTCCGTGAGACAATTCGACATGCATATACATTATCGCGAGCATGCTATCTCACAACGGCAACATGTTCTGCAACTTATTTCCGTGTAGTAATTTTTGCATTATGGTTTACTGACTCCAAAGTGTCGTAGTGTTTTGATCTTGAATATGTCGGTGCGAACATTGGTTTCTCGCTAAAATGTACGATACTCGGGTTCTTTTTGTGCTTAATGGCAGCTGATTAAGTATACCCCGGCTGCAACCATCGGTTATTCCGTTCTGGCTTGATTCTTCTCTTCCGGTGCAGTAGATGCTCCTTCTTACCGGTAGGCTTGCTTCAAAGTGTTGGTGTCAAAGTTCCTCCAATGGGCAGCCGTACAAGTAATGCTGAAACTCCTTACAGAGGTAGCAGTGCTTCATGTTCATAAGGCATTGCCTGTTGGGACACTAACAACATTTGGAGCAAATCGCTAGCCCTATCATCTCTATCTTTGGTGACAATTGATGTTGCTCTCCTTCATTATCAGTCTTCCTCATATTCGTGTCATTTCATGTTATTAGATAATCTTGATTTGGAAGAGATGATAATGTTGGTCCTCTTTCGACACTATTTTTGGCATATAATGAGTAAAGTCCCCTTACTCATGTTTTGCTAGACTAGTTAAATAATCCGCTTTTTCTTCATGTCCTTCATTATTGATGAGCTATGCCTGTTGCTAAAGGCATCGACAAACTCTTCTCAAGGGATTTCAGTACTCGGTCAGTCCCAAAAATTGATGCCAATTTTGTAAATCCGTTGTCATTACATAGGCCTTCAAGGCTCTCTTCCTCATTGGGGGCAGTCCACATCACAAGAGACTTTTTCTATATACATTATCCAGTCGTTGTTGTGGATCGTCTGACATCCATATTAAGCGAGTGGTTAGCGAGACTTAGTTCCAGGCTTCGTCCTTCATTAGCATTTTGTGGACAAACCACATATTGTATAAAAAATTATTTTCATAAATGACTTTTAGATGGCACACAACTATTGACATAACCAACTAAATGTAGTATCTTTATTTCAGAAGCCGACATAACTTCATGAGAAACAATGGGGACAACAAGAATTACAAAGGAGCTTACTCATACATGTTGCAAGCAATGAAAATACCATTAAACAACTAGCCTCAAACTCAACAAGCCAAATGGCTCAAACCCAAGCTTCATTAATCCAAGCAACAAGAATGCTTACAACATCACGCCATGCTAAGGCATGTGAAAGTTGACTTAAACTATTTAATTCCAAGGAAGAACAAGTCTATTAGAAATCAACGATCCATAAATAAAAATGGACATATGTCCCATCTTAAATGATGATCAATACTTCGACGGTGGGTCGTTTCTGTAGAATGTTCGTTGAATGAGCTCGGTGGATCAATCCGACATCTAGTATCTGATAGCTGACACCTGGATATACAACTCAACAAGTCAACCCAATAGCTTATTCATTAATTAAGCTCAGCGGAGGAGCTCGACAGATCAACCTAACAACTGCCACCTCGACAAATGGGTTTGACAGATAGAACTAGACATATGCATTTTTGAAATAAAATAGGTGTAGTTAGGCTCAAGAAAGCCTGTTAACGATGGTATTGGCCCATAGAGGTTGATTATGGTGTACTCATAGTTCCCTGATTCTCCAGTCTCTTTAACATGCAACTACAAAAAGTACAAAAGAATGAAGAGTTTGATATCCTTTGGCATCTTTATTTCAACATTATGAATTATATACACACACACACAACATGATACATGATACACACTATCTCTCAAGTGGTTTTCGAGCTTCTTGGAAGGGTACCCATGAGACACTTCCAGGGCAGGTAGCAATCATTAAGATTCAATGGTTGGCAAGTTTGCACTTTTTATCCTACAACTCAGTCAAAGGAGCAAGGTATAAAATTTATTTTGACTAAATTTGGACAAGTCTTTCGCTTGGGGGTCGTATCTCTCCTACAGGGAGTAGTCGCTTAAGCTTAGTATTGAGCTTGGACAGCCTTTTGCCTGGGGATCGTAGCACTCCCATAGGGAGTGATCGATTGTAATTCTGAGTAAGTAAATATTATCCTTTACTTGGGGGCTTCAACTTGCCCGTAGGAAGTAGTCACTTGAATTTATTGATTTAATGGATTGAGAACTTGCGATTTTTAGTCCCCAAGTGGTTGGAGTAATCCTCATGCATGGCCGAGCTGCTTATAGCAAGGACATTTGTTCTGAGTTTTCGATCGTCAGGCTGATCAAAAGGACATATGTCTTTTTAAGTAAGATGAAGTGTGGTGTGATGTTGGTAAAAAAAAATTTTGTGATCAACGATGAATATATAACATATTAAGAGCAAGTTTAAGACTTCCTTGTACTCATAACGTTATTAGGCTATACATTTTTCTTAACTTTTACATCAGGGAACAACCGTCCCATGATCTGAATAAGATCTATGTATGAATATCTGCTCCTCATTGGTGATGCCTTTACACTTCTAAAGAAAAGAGTAACATGAGTTTTTAAGAGTGTTAATAATATCATATCTATAAAAATGTTTTGTTGATGCAATTAGTCATTATCGTGGAAAGAGGCCATTAAAATTGTTCTACAGAGTTGCTTCCATTTTTTATCTTGCCTCGGGTTGCACGAAAAATATCACGCATGATATAGTGATAGTGGTCAGCGTTGTATCGGCGTCGAACAACTAATCCTTATCCTTTGAGACTTGAACAGACACTTATAAATAGGCATCGTATCAACGTCGAACACGGATACGACTTCGACACGTCTTGATGCTTGTCTGACATTATAAAATATGTTTCTGAAATTTTTAGGGCTTGAACATGTCTTGGACACTCCTCGACGACATTAGACATGGGCTCAACATAATTTAGACGCAAAACGAGTCATGAGAAGTAGAAAATTGTAAATATACGTGTAACTCTAATTATAACTCACGGTCACGGTTGCTTCTTCTCTATTAACGTTGAAACTCCTTCTAATATTCGTTAAAATTGAGCATCGAAGATACATCTAATATTTGTCAAAACCGAGCATCAATAGTTTCTTTTTTTGTTAAAGCTGAGCGTCAAAGACCATCTTACATTCATCAAAGCCGAGCATTGGAGTTCCTTTTGTTCATTGAAGTTGAACCTACACCCTCTAACGTGTAGTTGTAACCTTCTATGTTGCAACTTGAGCAAAAGTTAAACTTATTTGTTGAAGTCGATCTAAATGCCCTTTGAACTTTGCAACGCTTGTACTGAATCTTCTCTCAACATAATTTAGAGGCAAAACGAGTCACGAGAAGTAGAAAATTGTAAATATACGTGTAGCTCTAATTATAACTCACGGTCACAGTTGCTTCTTCTCTATTAATGTTGAAACTCTTTCTAATATTCGTTAAAATTGAGCATCGAAGATACATCTAATATTTGTCAAAACCGAGCATCAATAGTTTCTTTTTTTGTTAAAGCTGAGCGTCAAAGACCATCTTACATTCATCAAAGCCGAGCATTGGAGTTCCTTTTGTTCATTGAAGTTGAACCTACACCCTCTAACGTGTAAGCTGTAACCTTCTATGTTGCAACCTGAGCAAAAGTCAAACTTATTTGTTGAAGTCGATCTAAATACCCTTTGAACTTTGCAACGCTTGTACTGAATCTTCTATTCGTTGAAGTCAAGCGGAGTGAATGCTGCCTTAGTTTTGTAAGCGATACTTTATAATTTTTTTACTCTTTAATGAGTTAATATTTATAAATCTATACTCATTCTAGTTTTAAGAGCTAAATTTTATTTTAATTAAATAAGGTGTAATTGTAGGATATTTTAAATTTTAGTAGATAAATTGGAAGAATTATATGCTTAATTTTTAAAATTAATTTTTGCAATCATGGGATTTCATAATAAAAGTTAAATTTTGTTCATTCATACTTTATTTTGTGATGTCTTTAGTAAAGAAATGAAAAAAAATATATTTTATATTAATAGTTTATGAAATATAAAAATGTGTCCATGACGTGTCATATCATATATATTTTTTTAATTATGTAGTGTTGTGTATGTGTCCCATCCTCTGTGTCCGTGCTTCACTCATCGATGACTTGAACACCTCTCAGTGGCTCATATACTTGATGTGATGAGCGGGCTGAGGGGGTCCAGTCTTGTGACGCGTCTTGAGCTTAGTTGGGGTGGTGATAATGCAAGCTTATGTTGTTGCAAGGCGAATTCAACTGATACTCTGAAGGTGGATGAATCATGTCTAATGTTGTTGGTGCTTTTATGCAGACGTATATGTGGATCATTAGCTTAATTTGACAATGGCCTCAGATGATCCCTTCAGATTATCCTACTACTGATCCTTAGGATCCAATATGAGTTATAACATGGGTTCTTGAGTGGGTTCTAGAAGCATTCTCCCGTGTGTCTCATATCATGTTTGTCATTTTTTCTTTTTGTTCATTGATCTGCAGTATCATGAACTCTCTGGTGCAATCAATGATTTTTCTGCTTTATTTCCTTAGCTTATGGTGTTCTGCTAGATCCGAGTATGACCTCCACACTCATTTATCTTTCAGGATGTTGAATTTTTTTAAGTTGTTGAGTTTCATATTGTTCGTGCGCTTACACAACCTAGGATAGATCTATGAAAGAAGTGGGAGAAGAGAATGCATGAATGCTCCGAAAGTCCCCTCCTTCGATCGCCATAAAGAATGGAAGAAGAAAATGGTCAAAAGGTCCGCTTAAAAGATGGGAGAGTTTCTATCTATATGACTCTCAATAGCTTCTCCCTCCTCTATCGGATTACAATGAGATAATATTAAATAATTTACATACAGTACGAGCTTTGTTCATGAAGTGCCAATGAAGGACGATGATGATATGGATGTCAAATGATCCATAAATAGACATGGACGTATGTCCCTTCTTTTATTATGATTGATGCTCCGACAGTGGGTCGTTTTCGTAGAATGTCGCAGAAAACTTGGTTGTTCAATCACGACATTTGGAATATGAGAACTGCCATCTCAAAAGACTAGCTCGACAGGTCTACCTGACAATTGGTTTGCTCAATGAGCCAGGCGGATAAACAACAGTTGGAATCAGAGAGTTGAAACCTCGATAGATGAGTTCAATAGGTATAACTTGACATCTTTTTTGAAAGGAGAAAAGCCCGTTAAAGTTGGTATTGGCTCACGGAGGTTGATCATGGATGTACTACTCAAAACAATTTTTATATGTTTTGAGTGTTTTTAAAAATAAGTTAATTTGTTTTTGAAAATAAAAAATAAAAACATATAAAAAGGCTCTCAACAAACAAAAAATAAAAGCAAAACCAAAAATAAAAAACAAAAAATAAAAGTGATCCCAATCAAGTCCCTAGTTTGATAAGTTTGTGAGAGGGACTGAGGCCAGCTAATATGGACTACGAGGGGGTAGGCCTATTATGGTTCCTTTCTGGGTACTCTTTGATGATCTGATGTTTTTTTAGTAGAGCTTTATGGTGATGTGACATTCTTTGACGCTTGAATTGAAGAATTATTGTCTAGTTGATGTATGTCATGGAAATGTAGTTCCATTTGGTTCTATGATTCCTGAGTAAGCTAATTCCTAAAGTTGTTTTAGCCCAAAGTAGACTACTCTTAAAGATATGTGAAATTTTTGCATTTCATAGTATCTCACAAATATTGCCATCAATCTTTTTCCTTATATATAATGCCATTAAATTGGCTTTTATTTTCTTCGATGTGGTTTTCAGTCTATATTTTGGTTCATTGCCTACAGATTGAATATGATCCAACTCTAATTTCATTCAAGCAGCTCTTGGATGTTTTCTGGGCTAGTCATGATTCTAGGCAGGTCTTTGGACAAGGTCCTGATGTTGGCAACCAATATAGGTATTCAAGCTAAACTTTATCTTGTTAAAGCTATTTTTTTATGGGCAAACATTAGAATCCTCTCTTATGGGAGGCTGGGTTCATAGTAACATCTTGAACCTTCATAGCTTACACTGTGGGAGTAGAATGTAGATGGTTCACTCTTTGACTTAAAACAAGCTTGAAGTAAAGAAATTTACTGATAATTTACTTTGGAAAATTTACATACGTAGAACACAATTCTTAGGTATTTACAAATCTCACACCAAAACTGTCATATTTACATACATGCACTTTGATGCTTTAAACCTATCCATGAAAAAGATGTATTTCACTTTTAAAAGGTGATGGTAGTGCTATCTTTGATGTGATATTAAAGATTTTAGTGCTGTGCGGGTAAATGTCAAAGTTTAGGTGTGAGATATGTAAATACATAAGAATTCTGTGCTATGTATTGTATGTAAAGTTTAGGTGTGAGATATGTAAATACATAAGAATTCTGTGCTATGTATGTAAATGCCCCTTTAATTTTTTAAGCATTTCTTTTGTATTCAGAAGCCTAAAGGTCGCGCTGAAAATTTGGCTTGGTGAAGATTTGTTGTAGACTGATTTTTATTGTTGTTATATAATTGAAATTTTGGAGTAACTTGCTTGACCATATTTAATTGATTGTTATCAAGAGCAAAAAATACTGAAAAGCCTTTTATGGTTAATAAATAAAAGTAGGCACGGTTCAATCAAATTGTTTCCAGTTTCGATCTTTTTATAGAAAATAAAAGCTGTAACTTGTGATAAAGAATGGAATCTCTTATGATTTATATACCTATGGTATGTGCTAATATTCTATACTTCATATTCATTCAATAACCAAGCTGCTCATACGGTATTAGTTTGTCTATATAATGGCGTGTTACTAAACAGGATTAGGAATAAAAAGAAAATGCTTGGGTTTTCTTAATTTGAATTTTTTTGGAAGTTGATTTAATACGTATAGGAGTTATTCTAGTTATAATCAAGTGTTACTAAACAGGATTAGGAATAAAAAGAAAATGCTTGGGTCTTCTTAATTTGAATTTTTTTGGAAGTTGATTTAATACGTATAGGAGTTATTCTAGTAATAATCAAGATTTCAGTTTGGTGGTTTAAATTGATTTCCTTTTAATGGGTTTGCTCGTCTTTTCTGACATAACTAGCAGTACTTCTGAGAAGTGTGTTTGTATATTTTTATTTAGTTCATTTTTTATACATTTACCTCAATGCAAGAGCTTCATTGGCTCTTGCATTGGACTCCGAGTTTTCATCACATTACTCGATCATTAATATTCAGATTGGCTATTTGTTTCGTATAATTTTATTTATCATATTATTTCCATGTCAGGCAGTGTTTCTCCCATTTTTTAAATATTGGTCTTTCTCTTGACTCTATCTATCAATAATCCCTCTTTGTAGCTATTGACCTATCCCTCCCTTTCTCCAGTGTGAAGAAAGGCTTAAGAGCATGATTGGCGTTATTACTCCATTTTTTGACGGTAACTGTCACAATCAATCCATTGAACATTGCTTCATTATTGTAGAGAAAAGTGGAGAGCCAGTTTGAGATCTAAAATTTGGGAGTACCGGGAATAGGACATTGGTGCGATAGATGGGGACGAAGATAAGAGTTTGAGAGGCATATTCTTGATGATGTCTAGGGATCTAAGCTTAAATTGGATGTGTGTAAAAGAAATCAAAATGATTTAAAAAGTTGAATTAGGAGGCCGGCAATAGGGGCAAGGGGGACGATGCCGCCGGGGAGTTGGGGAGGAGGATGCACAGATACGAATAGGATCCACCACCTATACTCAATCAAGATACGACAACACTGCTTGAAAGAGATGTGATACAGCACTTTAATCTAGGATAAATATGAGAACAACTCTCTAACAAAACAAACCAAAAAGTTCTCAACAACAAATCTAAAATACATAATTATACTAAGGAGAACAAACATAACCCTAATTCTAATCTAGACCAGCAATTAGAAGCCCTAAAGGGAAACAACAGGTCCGATGGGCGGCGGAAAACTTTGAACTGGCCTAGATGTTCAACCAGTCAAGGCCGCTTCTTAGCCCTCTGTTCTATTTGAAAAAAACACACGTGTCACATATTTTTATTAATCAAATCATAATGCAGTGTGTAGACATAGGACATGACGAGAATAAAGATAATAAAAATAAATAATGACTATCATTATCCACGACATAAAAAATGACTAGTATTCCAAATAATGATGCGAAGGAAATTCTGAAATATGATAAAACGTGACAGAAACTTAGAATAACATATAATGAAACACAAAATATAAGTAAATCACTATGAAATTGATGGGCTATGTGTAGTTGAACTGGGTCAAATTCTGGAGATGGCAGGTCAGTTTTGGGATGCTTCTATACGATGCCTTCTTCTGGGAGTCAGGTACTCGAGCAATTAAATAGCGAATGATTGTCATATGCTCATAACAATTGTGTACATGCCTATATTTTATATATTAGGTTTAATAGAATTCCAAAATAGAGAGGTTACCATATTCTTAAGAATCAAATGCTCATAACAATTGCGTACATGCCTATATTTTATATATTAGGTTTAATAGAATTCCAAAATAGAGAGGTTACCATATTCTTAATCATTCTTGATGCTCAGAAACTAGTCATTAGAACAATTTCAAATGTTGCAAACCTTATAATTATACATTTTTCAATTGCACATTAGACTTTTTTGCGTGCTTGATTTTTTCATAAAGAAATGTGTGCTAGAAGAATGCTGTTGCTAAACTATAACTAAGAAGTTAATTCAGATTCCTGTACAAAATACAACGGAAAACAATATCTCCACTAGTTTAATTACTTCATTATCCGTTGTTAAATGACTCCCCTCTAATTTGATTCAAAGTAATTTGATTCAAAGTAATGCTCCTTATGATCGCAGATAGTTTAAGTTTGGAGGGAGATTGGTTTAGAATTTTGATAGTGATAGCTGTGCTGGTTCAGTGGTGAAGGGCCGCCCTTGTGCTTTACAAACTTGTTCTTTTTCACGCACTTTATGTGAATATGTTTGTTTGTGTTTTAGGCAAATTTACATGCATTCCACATAATTCTTACATATTTATATATCTAAGATTTAAATTTTGAGATATACTAACACTTTAATGTTACAATTACATCTAAACACATGCATGAAAAGAGGTATCCACTTTAGAAAAGTTAATATTAATGATATTTTTTTAGATGAAGTTAAAGATTTGGATTTTATATTAGTTTTAACCAAGTTTAAGTGAGTGTAAATCCTTTTCTTAATTTTTAAATTTGTTGATTGAAACACTAGAAAAGGAAAAAAAAGAAATATATATGTATATTCATAAAATATTTATTTTATTATTAAAGTTTTAGATTCAGATAGTCTATGCCAAAGTGTTCTATAGTTAAATTTATTTTATTTAAATTATGCACTAATTGTTTAAAATTATCGGCTTCAACTCAACAATTACTATACTTTTGAAACATTCAGAACTATAACTTCACCTATGAGTTTGATCCCAGTTTTAAAATCTTTCTTTGTTTTCTCTTCCACAGAAATAACCTCTGTCCAATTCTAGGATTAAGTCTGGTTATATCAACTCTCTACTGATCGTGAATTAGCAGGATCTCTATGCCTTATTCATTATTTTCTTCCTACTCAGATCTGAATTCCTTTGTGAACGTCAAATGCCCTCAGTCATTAAATTCCTATTCTCTTTCTCTTTCATCTTTCTCGAGCAAGTGCTTTGAGGTGTCCTGAAGGATAGGACCTGACTTCTCTTGTCTCTTTAGGAGTAAAGAGCCAAAATAGTTTCTTGACTATTCACATGAGGTAATTTTAGTCCCAGAGTTTATAAAAGTGGTAAATTATTCCCCAAACTCTTTTAATTAGGGCTAAAATATTCTACACTTTGGGATTATTTTAATGTATATTAAAAGAGTATGGGGACTAAATTGACATGTTATAAACTCGGGCTTAAATTGACCCTATGCCAAGAATTAGGGCACCATTTTAGTACATTTCTTGTCTCTTTTGCTTCCTCCACCTGATGATGATGAACATAAGAATAAGGGTCTGTTTGGGGTAGTTTGTGCGTTTCAGGATAAACTGCTTATCTTGAAACGCGGCCCTCGGGCCGGCCGCAGGGGTCGACCCGCGGCCTGCGTTTAGTGTAAAAACCCAAACGCAGTTTCGAATAAGCTAGCGAAACGCGCGAACCAAACGGTATGACGGCGTTTTGAAAACGCCGCACTTATAAGCTGCCCCAAACGGACCCTAAGACTACACATCAGCTTGCATGTTTACTGAACCATCACTTTAGCTACCCTCGTCGCATTCGGCAAAACAACATTTATTTACATGCTTTTACTGTCTAGTATACTTTGATGCGACAAGCAGGCTCGACAGAGGTTCTGGCGAGTTAGACTACTCGAAGGAGTCCGCATAATACTCTATGAAGTATTTGAACCTCTGAAGTGCTACTGACATGGAATCTGAGTTAGAAAAATTCTTGAAGGAAAATTTACTTACATGCACAATTCTTATGTATTTACATACCTAACACCCAAAGTTTGATATTTATTCTTTTTAACACCTTGGTGTCATAAACCTATCATGAAATGGTGTATTTCACTCATAAAAATGCAGTGATGATGGTATTTTTGATGTGATGCTAATGATTTGAGTGGCATGCATGTAAATATGATGTTTAGTTGTTAGATATATAAGTACATAAGAACTGTGTGGTATGTATGTAAGTGCCCCGTTCTGAAATTAGGTGCAGAAATTTTTAGCTTTTTTTTTGGTTTATTAGCTTTATGACAGTCGTGTCTTCACCAGAAAATGTTATTTTTTTCTAGGGAAGACAGTAATTTGGTTACTTCAACTTGCAATTTGTTATAAAAAGCGGTATATCACGAACTAACTTATCCCAAGTCACCCGTGCAACTTTAGCGCTCTTCATTAGCACTAAATCAGTCTAATTCTTCACAACACTTGGACTTGTAAGCACAAAACACTCTAAGAAGAGTAGGGAAAAGTATTGAAGAAAGTAATACTTCACTAAGAAAGAAGAATTGCAACACTTGAAAACTTGGAAGCTTGGATAGTTTCCTTGGATCCTTTCTTGGATGTATACTTGGATGGTTACACATGAGTGGGAGGGACTCCTATTTATTATCATTTCCAGATAATTTTACAATATTCTTTACATATATATATATAATTCTAGAACTTTCCAAAATATTCTAGAATTCTCTTGGAGCTTGCTTCTTTCAACATATTTCTAGAATTATGTGGAACCTCCTAGAATTCCTTGGAATATTCTACTTCTTTCTAGTTTTTTCTAGAATACTATGGAATTTTCTAGAGTCCTTTGGATTGCTCTCTACATTCTGGGCTTCTCTAGAATCTTTGTTTCCCATTTTTGTCTTGCCAATTATTCTTGAAGATGGCGGAGCGTGACAAGTAGTTCAAAATGTTCTAAAGTGAATTTGTTGAATTTTGATTTGATAAAGGGGCATTTACATGTGTACCACCGAATTTCGTTGTATTTTATATCTAACTTCTAAAGCTTATTTCTTACATTTATAACACCAAAATATTTTATATTTCATAAAAATGCCCACTTTTTTGACTATATGTGAAATACACCTTTTCATATATAAGTAAGGCTGCATATATGTTAAGAATTGAAGTTTAGGTGTTAGATATGTAAATAAGTAGGAATTGAGTGGTATGTATGTAAGTCTTCCTTTGATAAAATGTGCCGGAAAAATAGCATTATATGCAGGGACCGGATAATTATGTAGAATAAATGCTTCAGTGCCCATCAAATTGATAATGTGCTTCTTGTCCATGGATTATAAGAAACTATTATTTTTTGGATCCTATAGCCATCTCTTAACTGTGTTGCTGCTATTCCAGATCCATTATATTTACAAATGGTAGCCTAGAAGCCAGGTTAGCTGCTTCCAGTAAAGAAACGGAACAAACTAAGAGCAGGAGCAGCATTGTTACAACCCAAATCCAGCAACTGGGGGTTTTCAATCCTGCAGAATCAGATCATCAGGTACTCTATTTTTCAATCTTTAAGAGACTTTTAGCTACAATTAGAATTTAACAAGGGTGCAGTTTGGTTTGTTAAAAAAAGAATGCAGTGTAAACGGAATGCAATATAATTGAATGTAGTGTATTTTAAATAATTTGATGTTTTTTGGTTTGATGTGAAGTAATGCAGGAATTTAATATTTTTGTGTTTGCTTTGAAAAAAAAATGAACTCAATGTAAAACATGTTCGGCTATAGCGGCGACGGCAACTTGTGGTTGTGACACATGTGGCAGGCGGCCGGATGTTGCTGAGACGCCTGTGACGGGCAAGCGGCCAGTCAGCAGTGGCAGCAAAAACGTACTGCACCTTGCAATGTATTTGAAAAGCGACCAAATCTAATTAATTCGGAATACACTAATTTTGAATTATAAGATGAAAATTCGCCAAAATTTTTATTGCATTCCATTTTCATCCAAAAAAACGTCAGAATGCTAATACTAATGCATTTTCATCCAACACTAACGTAGTGCACCAAACCAACCCTAATCTTGTAAATCCAACTTCAAATTTAAATTTTGAAAACCATCTGAATGATAGATGCTAAAGTTGGTTAAATCTTAATAATTTTTTATTAAATTTGTTCAAGATTTAAATTTAAATGAGACAGTATTAGGAGTAGTGTAATATCTTGTAAACCCTACAAGCTTCAGGATTTTTAGCCTACAACGAGAAGAAAACAAAATTTAAGAATATAGCAGGATTTATTTGACTCGAGCAAATTATTTTTCTTAGCTAAATCTTGTAACCAGACAACCCCTCCTTATATTTGTCAAGGAATAGTTTGATTACATGTAGGAGTTAGTAAAACATGTAAATTAAAATTCAGTAAAACTTGAGAGAATTAAAGCTTATAAATTATTTTGCATGAGAAATGTCAAATTTTGTTTAATTTTCATAAATTGTTTGGCAAGTTGTTTTAGGATATAAGATATGTGAAAAATCTGTTAAATTCTATGAATGGCAGGGTACAAATCCTATATCTAAACAATACAAAAAAAAAAAAAAAAAGTAGGATCTAAAGGTTCAAAATTGTCGTTAGCAGTGCTTAATTTTAATTTTGCATAAAATAATATGCTTAAAAATAAGATACTAAACATCTCCTAAACTTAATTTTTTAAGGGAAATTTACTTGCATGCACATAATTCTTATCTTTTACATATCTAACACCAAAAGTTTGATATTTAAACTTATAACACTTCGGTGTCATAAACTCACACATGGAAATGTGTATTTCAGTTTTAATAAGATGATGATGGTGATAATTTTAATGCGTAAGTACATAAGGATTGTGTGTTATATATGTCAATTCCCTTCTTTTTTAAATGGCCTGAAATGCTTCTCAACCTGCAATAATATGCTTTCCAGCTTTTGCGCCTGCTTTGATTGACGCTCTGTTGCAGAAATTCGAGCTAAAACGCAATAAATTTCTCATGCAACTGATTGGAAACATGCAAGAAGAGGAGCTTCAGAAATCAACTTTGGCCGCCAAACTAAATAGCTATGCTGCTGAACTCTGTCCTCCCAAAATTCAAAAGAAGATTGATGCCAAGATTGATGAGATTCTTAAAATTGGTTGGCCTCTTCTTAGGGAAGTGTAGATCACTTTGAACTTAATTTTGGTAAGTATACATTTTACGAGTATGTTATTTGATATTGATTATTTATCAATACTTTATCGTGTGATTCTGTGTGAATGCTGTACTTCGAAATTACTTTTGAAAGATAGTAGAATGTGGATGGAAGGTTCGAAGATAAAAGATGACAGAGTTATTGCTGGTTATCTTAGAAGAAACTTTTGATATTGTCAGCAATAAATTTGAATGTAAATAAAAGTGAAATTAATTTAGTGAAGTATTTTTTGTACTTGAATGAATGATGTTTTAGTAACTTCTTAATGTGTATGGTGAATTGATGAGTCGTGTTGAGTTGAGCTAAATTGCCCCTCAATTAAGTGTGTTGTATTTTTGTTATTTAGAGGGTAGACAATCAAATTCACATTATATTTGAGATTTGTATTTAATTTTCTTGCTTTTGGTGATGAAATGTTGAGATACCTTGGCTCGATATTAGTAATATTTGAAATTTGAATTGGGTAATTGGATTTATGCTGATCCTTTTTGTTTGATGTTGAGGATGACCTGTTTTTTTAAATCTAAATATGATTCCGGAGTTAGCCAAAACCACAATAGGAAAAACAAATGTTATTACTGTAAAAATAAATATACAGTTACTTGAAAAAAAAAAAGAACAACACGACACCCAGAAATCTTAAATAACAATAGACACGGCACAAACACTCAATCAGGGTGGACCTCGAGTGCTGGTGGTGTCCGTTAAGGGATTGGAAAGGTCGGGAAGGTGCAGAGCTAGGGGAAATAGTAGCAAGGTGGCATCAACTGGCTGTCCTGAGCAATGACAAATAGGGAATTGCTGTAATTGGCAGTAATCAACAAGAGCCGGCTGTTCGGAGGGGTTGGAATGAGCAAGTGCAGCAGTGGAGTGATTTTCTGGGGGCGGCAACAAGTTTGTAAGAGAAGAAGGTGACTGGGAAGGTTCACTATTACAGAAGAAAAAGGGATTTCCAGCAGTTTCGAGCGGTGACAATTAAGGAAGTAGGCAACAGGCGATTTAGGAAGGTTGGAGTAATGGTGGAGGGCAGCTGTGGTGGATGACATTAAGCCTGGGAAGGGAGTTAGGTGACTGCAAATGGTGGACCTTCAAGAAACAAAAATAAAAGCTCTTGTTTCTACAACTACAACAAGAAAGGGGCGTTTGAGAGCGATGTGGGAGGATGTAGAAGGGGGATAGGGGAATATAATCTTCACATCGGAAGAAGCATGAGTACCACCCGATCCCTCATATACAACCTCGAAAAGAAAATGAATGCCGACGATTGTCTTAAACAAAATCATGCCAGAACTAAATCTTGAAGAACAAGAATATAATAATAAATATATAATAAGAGGATAACTAGGAGTGACCCAAGAGGACCGTCCGACTTCTCGGAAAAGAGAAGACCTGGATCGTTTCAGTCCAAACAAAAGAATGGGTCGCACTGAAATGATTGCGTGCGACACTTGCCACACCAACGCGGGCCTGGGAGCTCCCATGTTGATCGTAGTGCCCTCGTGTCGGGCATGACACCCTTGCATCAGTCTCCTGAGTTTGAGGGAGCTTCAACCTTATCTGTTGAAGTTTCTATCTCTTCATAGTAGTCAGGTCGACATCACTGAAGGTATCAGAAATGACAATCTCCTGACAAGTCGATTCTGTAGGCACTGACATTCCATAAAACACATTGATAGATTAAACATCATCCTCTTTTGACACATCCTGAGCTGGAGCTATATATATATGTATGTTTCTGCAATGTAACTCTCGAGCCCTGAAGTCTGAAGCTTATTCTTTCATTTCTCGTACTCAACTAAGTGTAGCTGATAAATAAGTATGTGAGGAGATATCAACTCTGGGATGAAATATGTAGCATGTTGTGCCACTCTTACTAGCAACTACTTTGGATAGACCTCTTCTTCACTAATGGGACATGGATCCTATTGAAGAATTTTCTTCCCCATCAAGCTTCTAAGTCAATTTCCAAAGCTGTGTTCCATCCCTTCTATATGGTCATCTGTTGGTAAGTACACTGTTAAGCTGCATTTATTATTCGAACAACTCCATATATTCTTCTAGTAGTAACTCAAAATTTTCTCATTATTGACGAGTTATACCTCTCTCAGTAGGGGCAACTCAGAAGGTAGACTATATATTTGAAAATGTTGAAATCTTCTTATCCGAAGTTGCTTTGTGTCTAGTATCAGTTCCTCAAACTCATTGCCCTTTTAGATATTCAGTGTCAATCCTAGTGACACCCCTTCAAACTCCTACAAAAATGTAGTTTAAGGAATCATAACCTCATACCGTCCATGAACACCATTTACCTCAGACTCACTATCTTCTAGAACAGTTACTGTTAACTCAGTTTGAATCTCTCTTATATGTTCAACTGGAATCGATGACATATCTTCCTCATTGATTGGCAGCTGATATTCTTCTTTCGTGTCCACGCTCTCTTCGGTGTCATTGTCCATCTCTTAAACTACTCCCTACTTAGCGAAATATATCATTCCCTCCAGTTATGCAATCTACTTAAATATGCCCAAATTCATGGCACTAGAAACACTTTCTTGCTTGGACAAATTTATGAATATTAGTTCAATCCATATGTTCTTTACTCTGAATCAATTTCTCCTCAGGCGAGGTCAGCTTGGATGTTCCATTGATGCTCCCTTGAGTATACTCTAACTGTAAGATCCTGGGTGAACCCTACCCGTAAGAGGTGGTGTTAGCCCGATGATATGATCTCTTCACTTTTGAAACTGGGGTCTGAACATCTGGTCTGTAGTGAGTCAGTAGGAACTGACGCTGCATCTCCCGTTTCATCTGGGATGTCTTTTTCCTCACGTTGGAGCAGATATTTCAAAATTTGCCACCAAAATAATGCACTCTTCTTTTTAACTTGCTGACGACTAATTTCACCATTTCATATGGTGGAACGCCCTGACACTCAAAGATACATTCTGAAGTTCAGAGCTAGTTGATGAACCAGATTCATATGATCATCAAAATATAACCAATCCACATTTACTTCAACATTCTTGCTTCTCAGATATTTTAGGTCATCTTCGAGGCAGTGATTTTTCATCCTTGGAATCCGCATGGTGGAAGAGATTCACTCATTTCTTCGATCTAGCAAGTCATCGTTGTGACTACGGGTGACCCATTCAGATTGCCTCTTCTCGAATGTGACGAACCTTGATGTAGTTGGCGGGGTTTCCAGCTGCATATCCATCCTAAAAATCCCTTGGACACTCTTTGTGAATTTCTTATAAACGATATTGTGTTCTTTCCCCTCGATCAGGGTTCCAATGATTATCTCGTTAGTGGCATGGCTTGGCTTTGGGTGCGTGTAGGTGGAAGGTGTGTAAGGGTGATGTGAGGTGAGAAAGAAAAAAAATTAGGTGGAGTTAAGTTTGAATATGACAGATGCTAGAAATCCTAGGATATGACTAGGGTTAGACTAGCTATGATACCAAATGATACTTGAGTTAACCCAAGTCACAGTAGAAAAAAACAAATGTTATTACTAAATGCAAATAAACGATTACAACCAATACACTTGATAAGTAAAATTACAACAACACGACACCCAAAAATCTTAAAAAAACAATATACACGGAACAAACAGTCAATTAGGGTGGACCTTGTGTGGTGGTGGTGGCCGTGAAGGGTTTAAAAGGGTGGAGGCAAGGTTGGGAAGGTGCAGGACCGTGGGAAAATAATTGTAAGGCAATGTCGGTTTGCTGTCTTGAGCGGCAACAAGCATGGAATTGTTGTAATTGACAATAATCAACAATAATCGGTTGTCCCGAGGGGTTGAAATGAGGGAGGGCAGTAGTGTGGTGAATTTTTGTAGGCGATAACAAGTCTGAAAGAGGATAAGGTGGCTAGAAAGGTTCAATATTGCAGGAAAATAGGGATTTCCAACAGTTTCAGGCGGGATAGTGAAGTAAGCGACATGCGATGCAGGAAGGTTGGGGAATGGTGAGGGGCAGTCGTGGTGGGCAATAACATGCCTGAGAAGGGAAGGAGCTGGCTGAAAATGGTGGAACTGCAGGAAACAACAATAATAGCTGTTTGGCAGCTGGAATAGGGAAGGGATGGTCAAGAGCAATGTGGGAGGATGCGGAAGGTGGATAGAGGAAGATAATCACCACATCCGGAGAGAGATATAGCTGGAGCATCACCCAATCTCTCAAATACAACCCTCAAAGGGAGAAAAAAGACGTCAATGGGTGTCCTAAACAAACTAATGCCAAAAATAAACTTAAAACATTGTGAATATAAATATATAATAAGAGGATAACTATGAGTGACCTAAGATGATCAGTCGACTCCTTATAAGGGAGAAAATCTAGACTGGTTTGATCCAAGCGAAAGAACGGGTAGCACAAAAATGATCACGCGTAACACTTGCTGCGCCCATGCGAAGCAAGGCACCCCACGTCAAGATGTCTGTATTTGATTTTTGCAAATTTGTATTTTTTGATATTGGAGATTAGATTCATTTTACATCTTCTGCTCGACATTTTATTTTGGTTTCATGTATATGTTATTTTTTATTATAAGAGAAAATTATTAATTTTATTTGCAACTTTATTGTATCGGTAGCCTTTTGTTAATATCAAAGGACAGATATAATTTATGCTTTTGTATATCATAAATGATATTACTAATGCATGTACCTTTGGCGAAGGTTCAAATTCTTGCATAAAATGTCAAATTAGTCTTGATTTTTTACATGGGGCAATTTAGTTAGAGAGTTTATGAAAATGTTAGAATAACCCCCATAGTTTCTTCAGTTCTCCCTAAACCCTAAACCCTAAATCCTGAACCCTAATAACTTTTAGGAGTAAGGCTTAGATCTACGTACAAGGGAGCTGATAAGATACTGGTATTTTGGATTTTTCTTTGCAAAAAATAATTGGGTACTTTGCGAGAATCAAAGCCTAGTTATTTCTCTTCAGATCATAGTATATGATATACTGTGGATTCTTGGATTTCAGAACCTCAAAGATTTACAGTTTGAGGTACCAAACATCAATAACTTCATGAGCAAGGAATTTCTATTTAAGAAAGACATTTATATCCATCTTGTTTGATCTTTTGTGACGATGACAAATTTCAAGAAGAAGCGCTTCGTATCGACTCTTAATGCACCGCCAAACTGGCATTTGTAGGATAGAGGTTACAGGATCCTTCCTCCGAAGCAAAGTGAGAGGAGTGACAGGGTGAAAATTCTTTTGA